ATTGTGTTCAAGGTGAAAGTTCACACAGCTAGTTCCCATTTACCAATTTCTACACAAGTTATTCAGTGATAGTGGTTACATTTTAGCTCTAAAGTTTCTATTGTTACAAAAGAAAGGTTTAGCTTCAGCATTTAAGTCAGAGCTAAGTGGGGGAACACCCTCACAGGACACCTGAAACTGCAAAGAGAAGCTGGTGTTTTGGGAAATGAATACACTTAGGAAACCATCTTGAAACTGTGGTTCTATAAAAGGGTTTGAACCCAACAGTCACCATGAGAAATAAAACAGATGAAATTCAAGATGGGGCAGAAACACTGAACAGACCAATCACCAGAAAAAGGTCAAAGGTGAGGAGGCCCTGCCTCCAGGAGTGTGCTGTCTACAGGTGAGTGCGGAAGAACGCTCTGACCGCAGGTAGAGGCCGCAGAACACAAGGCCAGGAGTCCCTGTTGCTGAAGATGGACGCTGTCAGTCTTTCAGAGGCTAGCATGAGCTGCTGCCAAGACCAAGCATGGTAAGAAAAAGAATAAAGAGGCAGGTCAGTTTAATGTACGACATGGATGGGAAGTGGGGCCGGGTGGCAGAATTTCCGGATCCCATGGGGAAGACCCAGGTTCAATTCCAGCCAATGCACCCCACACACAGCCACCACCCATCTGTCCATGGAGGTTCTCATGCTGCTATGTGCTGAACGGGTCCCAGCGGAGCTTCCAGATGAGGACAGACCAGGAAGAAAGGTCTGACAATCTACTCCCCAAATCAGCAGAAGCCCCACGGAGCACAAGGGCCAGACCTGCCGCTGGTCACGGGGATGGCACGGGACTGGGCTGTGTTTTATTCCGTCCTGTGGGGCTGCCACAAGTCAGGCGTCGACCTGCTGACAGCTGACAGCAAGCGACCACAGAGGAAAAGGCCAACGAAATATTCCCGACTCAAAGCAGAGAGCGCCACGAAGACCTGTGTTTTACTGACTATGCAAAAGCATTTGAATACGTGGATCATAAGAAATTATGGATAACACTGTGAAGAATAGGAATTCCAGGACACTTAATTGTGCTCATGAGGAACCTGTACATTGACCAGGAGGCTGTCATTCACACAGAACAAGGGGACACTGCATGGTTTAAAATCAGGAGGGGAATGCATCAGGGTTGTATCCTTTTACCATATTTTTTCAATCTGCATGCAAATAACCCAAGCAGCTGGACTATATGAAGAAGAGCACAGCGTCAGGATTGGGGGAAGGCTCATTAACAACCTGAGATACACAGACGACACAACCTTGCTGAAAGTGAAGAGGACTTGAAGCACTTGCTGATGAAGATCATAGACTGCAGTCCACAGTACGGATTACACATCAACATACAGAAAACAAAAATTCTCACAACTGGACCACTGAGCAAAATCATGATAAACGGAGAAAAGATTGAATTTGTCAGGAATTTCATTTTACTTGGATTGACAACCAACACCCATGGAAACGGCATATTGGACTGGGCAAATCTGCTGCAAAAGACTCTTTAAAGTGTTAAAAGGCAAAGACATCACTTTGAGGACTAAGGTGTTCCTGCCCAAACCATGGTCTTTTTCAATCGCCTCATATGCATGTGAAAGCTGGACAGTGAACGAGGAAGACCGAAGGAGAGTTGATGCCTCTGAATTATGGTGTTATGGAAGGAAAATGAAAACACCATGGACCACCAGAAGAATGAAAATCTATCCTGGAAGCTCCTTGGAAGCGAGAATGGCCAGACTTGGTCTCACGCCCTTCGGTCATGCTGTCAGAAGGAACCATTCCCTGGAGGATATCATGGTTGGTAAATTAGAGGGTCAATGAAGAAGGGGAAGGCCCCCAACAGATGGACTAACACAGTGGCTGCAACAGTGGGCTCAAGCAGAGCCACGATAGTGAGGCCGGTGCCGGACCGGGCAGTGTTTTGTTCTGTTGTGCACAGGGTCACTGTGAGCAGAGCCCTGACAACAGTGACACATTAGCAAAGTTGAATCCAGCACTGTGTTTGGAGCATTGGCTGGGAGAGCCAGTCTCACCTTAGACACGTCTTCCTCTGGGACACAACCTTCGCACCCAGAGTACTCGAGGGTCTCCCTGGGGGCCCTGGCCCTGCCCGGAACTTGGCCTTCGGCCCCTGGTCTAACCACAGCTGTCTGCTCCCCAGAGACCCTGCCTAGTCTGCAGGGCACGGCCAGCATGCAGCGTTGTCCAGAGCCTTTGCTGAGCACTAAAGGAGGGGAGGAGTGGATGACCTTCAGCCTCCAACGCTAGGCCTGGAGCCAAGACAATCCCCCTGGAGGGCTTACCTCGGCCCCGCGATTTCGCAGCCGGCTTGATAATCCAGATGTTCCTGACCCCGTCGATCTCCGTCTGAGGGTTGATGGATGTGATCTTGTTCAGCAGCGCCTGGCACTGAGGTAAGTAGCTCCTGGAATTGGAGATGAATGCGTCGCCACTACAAGACAAGAGTCAGAGAGCGGCATGAAGGGGGCATGTGTGTGTGTGTGTGTGTGTGTGTGTGTGGCCCCTGGCTGTGCACCCAGCAATGTGCCTGCAGACGGCCCACTGGGACCAGGGCAACAGCAGGCAGAGCTATCCCCCAGCAACACGCCTGAGTTCACCTCCCAGGTGCTGGGCTAACAGGGATGCTGCACAGGATGAGGATTTGGGGCTCTGGACTGTGCACACACCCAAGAAGCTGGCTGCCTGGGGCCGTGAAAGGTTCTGGGAGCAAGGCCAGGCCCTGGTATGGGTCCCAGCCCCCTAGGTGCTGGCCCGGTCTCCCAGCCACGCCCTCATGGGGGATCTCCCCTGAGAAAGCTGGCACTGCCCATTCAGACCTGTCCTATGTCCCTTCACCCATGTGGGGCTGTCATGGGACTGTCACTGGAATCTGACTGTCAATCAAACCCAAGATGCCAGGTAGTGGCCACACGGATTGTACCCCAATGGCAGAGACTCATGAGGCCATGATGGACTTAAGGGGATAAACAGAAGGCTGTGGGTGTGGCTGCTTCAGCAACTTAATGCTCTCAAGGGCAGTGTTGTGGCCTGGGATGGGGGACCCACCCAGCACCTCCATCTACCCGTGGGCCCTGTCAGACCCAGCGTGGGCATAGATAATGCTTCAGCAGCTTAATGCTGCTCAGGTGCAGTGTTGTGGCCCAGGATGGGGGACCCACCCAGCATCTCCAGCCACCCACAGGTCCCATCAGACCCAGCCCATGAGTAGATAATCCCAGACCCACGGGGCTAAGTCCACCATGCTAGACAAAGCACTGAAGCAAAAAACAGGGGTAATGGCTGGCTCCAAGGTCACAGGCCACGCTGTACTCCTAGAGGGGGGATGCCAAGGTTAGAGTGAGACACCCCACTATACCTTCTGTGGGTGGGAGGCAGCATGACAGGGAGAAGGGAGGCCCAAGGTGACCCTGTGGTGGGGTAGGGAAGCCCTATAGTGCCATGGGCTCAACTGGGGAAAGACAGAGCTGCCAAGAGTGTATGGCCCTCCCTGGGCACAGAAGTATGGATGTGGCATATGAACAGAGGCTGAGCCAGGCCGGTCCACTCTCCCTGTTTCTAACTGGACACAGTGAGCAGAGCCCCCAACATTGCCAAGCCCCTCTCTGCAGTGACTGCCTAGCAGGGTCTAACCCCAGGAAAAGACAAGTGCTCAGCCATCGCTAGGACATGGTGGAGGGGACACTCATTCCCACTAGTTCTCTCCAGCAGTCCTGCTGGCTTGTGGGGATTGGCCACTGACTGTCGTGGCTCAATAAGGTGGGTCACCGATAGCGTCTAGATGCCAATCCCAATACAGCTGCCCAAGGGGTTTTGCAAGCTCTGTCTGATGTGGATACTAACAGGCCTTGGCCAGGGCTTGCTTCTTGAGGTCCTCGGGAGAGAAGCAGCTGCCTTCATGTGGACAGGACACATTGTTGTCACAGTCTCTCCTCAAGGACACCTGGAGTCCCTGGGCCTGGAAGAGGCCACAGCACAGAGGTGATATTTGGATGGGAGCAGCATGTCAGTAAACGTTGTGTAGTTTCTGCCTTGGAGCCCATGGGTAGTGCCAACAGCAACACACTCGGAGGCCAACTCTGGTTGGCAGTTTGAGTCCACTGAAGGGAGACTCAGAAGAAAGGCTGGCAACCTGCTCCCCAAAAACCAGCCACTGAAAAGCCTGTGAAGCACAGTTGTGCTCTGATACACATGGAGGTGAAACCGAGCGGAGTCAAAACTCAGCCTGCATCCCCGGCTGGAAGCAAATAAATAAACATAATAACTCAGTTCCTTAAGAGCTGAATAGGATGAAAGCTCAACTATTCCCCCACCCTGGTTAAGACAGATAGGACCCTGCTTGGAGACAAATAAGCAAACATAACTCCTCAGTTCCTTAAGAACTGAATGGAATGAAAAGTCAGTTTGCACATTCTTTCCATGCTATTTACCCTAGAAACAAGTGATAAGCACATTAACGTGTCTCAGGAGACAACTTGAAAATTAACTGTGGCCTGCGAACATGCGCAGTGAGACAAACAGGAACCAAGTTGCTGGAATTGACATTCTCCCCTCTGCCTAAGCCCCCATCAGCTGATGACAGGAAGCCAGTGTGACTCATCCAGTGTACAAGTGCACTGAATTAAGAAACGACTATCCCTTTAAACCAAGGTGAAGGAAATTTCAGCAGTCGTCAACTATTTCATGCCCAAATTCCTGAAATTTTTATGAATATGCATAACCCTCTCTCCTGAAACTTAAAAAAACTGTAATTCAATTTAGATTTGGGTAGTCTGATTTGGGTAAAGACCCCTATCTCCTTGCATTGCCTCTTTGCAATAAACAGTTTTCTCTCCTCTTAATCACTCAGTGTGTAAACTGTTTTGGCCTGATCGCACACCTGGCAGGGACCTGCATTTGGTCTAATTTCAGAGGCAGTGTGAGTCAGAGTTGATGCTGTGGCATCTGGTCAACTGGTTTGGGTCTCAGTCTTGGATGGCAAGATTCCATAATGTCTCCTGAGACCAGTGAGGAGGATGCATGAGCGAGCCAAGGTCCAGGCACCAGCAGGCACCTTCTGGAATAACCTGAGCCAGGGGTAAGACACCCCACAGTCATCAGAGAACAAAGTTCTGTCCCTCCCAGGTCCTGGTGACAAGCAGCAGCACCCCTCAGGTTCTCTGAGTCCCTCTGGAAGAACTGAAACCTCCGTGAGTAAAGACTGAGCTGAAGGGGGTCTCTCTGAGCAAGTGCCACAGTTGACAAGGACCAGCAGGAGCCTACCCCTGCAGAAATGGATGCGGCTGCCAGAGATACCTGTAGGAAATACTGCCACCCTGTGGTGCCTCTGGGGACTTCCTCTTTTTCATTCAGGGATAAGAACCTGTCCTGAAGTGCAGGGGACCCTGCCCATATACCTGTCTACCATTTGAATGTCTTCCCTGAAGCATCTGCCAAGTCTCTGAACCATCTTCAGCAGACTATTTATCTTTTCTTACTGACTTATTCTTTATATTCTCTGGGTCTAAGGCTCTTGTTGGGTATTCATGCCTAAATATATTCAGTCTCTCAAAAGCATTTGCTGAACGGAGTTCTTAATGTCAGTGAAGTCCAATATATATCAACTTTATCATAAATACCACACATGAACTCTTTGCCCTCCACAGGGTGACATCATCTTATTTTTCTTAACTTTCACATTCAGGTTTATATCTCAAACTAAGTTCTGTGTATCTGTGAGGCAGGATTCAAGGTGTACACATGTATGTGTGTCTATATATACATGCCCACTGCTTGAACCCCACTCACTGGGAAGACAAGGTCTTCCCCACTGAACTTCAGTGGCACCTTGGTATTGAATCAGTGATCATGTATGTGAAGATGTACTTCTAGATTCAGTCTTGATTACATGGGTCTACTCCTCTACCTTAGCCCAATACCACACTGCCTTGATCATCACAGGTTTGTAGTAAGCCCTGAGATATGGCCCATAAGTCCTCTAACTCTGTTGTTCTGGATCAAGACTGTCTTGACTCTCCTAAATCATCTGAATTTCCAAACACATTTTAGAATAGGCTTGTCAATTCCTCCCGCCTCCCCCTAAATGACCCCTGAAGGCATTGCACTGAATCTATAGATCAGTTTGAGAAGAAAGACCATGTGTACACTATTGATCTTCCAGTTCATGAACATGAGCCTGACACATCACCCCCCAAAGCTGCCTCTACACACCTCAGTCCTTACCTGAGCTAAGTTTACAATGCTTCCCACTCTATCTACATAGCTGACCCTCTGCACATTCAGCACTCCAGTGAAAAATGATGGAGCACACAAAGAGAAAGAATCTTACAACCTACGACCAAGGCAAACTAACAATAGAGGCAAGACTTCTGTGTGGCTGAAGATAAATGAGTTAAATGAAGCACTTAAGAGATGGAGAATTGCAGACTGGATAAGAAAACAAAACCCATTGATATGCTACCTACAAGAGACACACCTTAGAGACAAAGACAAAAATAGACTAAAAATCAAAGGTTGGAGAAAGATATATCAAGCAAACGGAAACCAAAAAGAACAGGAGTGGTTATATTAATTTCTGATCAAATTGACTTTAAGATGAAAACCACCATTTGAGACAAGGAAGGACATTATATAATGATTAAAGGATCAATTGAACAAGAAGATATAACCATAATAAATATCTATGGACCCAATGAAAGAGCTCCAAAATATATAATCAGACCTTAACAGAATTGAAAAGACAAATAGATGACTCCATAGTCATAGTAGGAGACTTTAATACACCACTTGCAATGCAAGACAGAACTGGAAGGAAACTCAACAAAGACACAGAAGAACTAAACAATACAGTCCACCAACTTGACCTTACAGACAACTACAGAGCACTCCACCCAACAACAGCACAATATACATCCTTTCCCAGTGCACATGGAACAGGATAGACCATACGTTAGGCCACAAAGCAAGCCTTCATAAATTTAAAAACATTGTAATACTGCAAGGTATCTTCTCAGATCACAATGCTATAAAACTAGAAACCAACAACAGGAAGATGAATGGAAAAAGAGCAAATACATGGAAACTGAACAACACCCTCCTTCAAAACAACTGGGTAATAGAAGAAATAAAATATGAAATTAAAAAATTCCTTGAATCAAATGAGAATGAAAACACAACATACCAAAATCTTTGGGACATGGCAAAAGCAGTGATCAGAGGCTAATTTATAGCAATAAAAACAATTTATAGCAATGACAAGAGGACAACAGTGGACTGAGATGCAGCAATGATGGGCGGACAACAGTGGACCGAGACGCAGCAATGACGGGCTGACAACAGTGGACCGAGAGACAGCAATGATGGGCTGACAACAGTGGACCGAGACACAGCAATGGACCGAGAGACAGCAATAACAGGCGGACAACAGTGGACTTGGGGACAGCAATGATGGGCTGACAACAGTGGACCGAGAGACAGCAATAATAGGCAGACAACAGTGGACCGAGATGCAGCAATGACGGGCTGACAACAGTGGACTTGGGGACAGCAATGATGGGCTGACAACAGTGGACCAAGAGACAGCAATGATGGGCTGACAACAGTAGACTTGGGGACAGCAATGACGGGCTGACAACAGTGGACTTGGGGACAGCAATGACGGGCTGACAACAGT